TATGACGTACCCAAGACTTGCATGCGCACAGAGATGACTGTACAGCCATACTCCTGCGGTAAAGAACACTGTAAGATGGTTCCGCGTGAGGTCCCAGCAACATGTACTCGTCAGGTTCCTCAGCAGCAACCATACCCATGCCAGAAGACTCGTCAAGAGCGTGTATGTCAACAGGTTCCTTATCAGGTAGCAAAAACATGTTATAAAGAGGAGATGACACAAGAAACATACAGCTGCCCTCGTACAGAATATAAACAACAATGCAGAAATGTTTCACATAATGTTATGGATGCATGCCAACGTACAGTGATGGTACCTGAACAATATAAATGTACAAAAACAGAATACCAACAGCAATGTGAACAAGTTCCTTTTGAGGTTCCAGATACATGCTACGAAACTGTAGAAACAAAGAAACCATATAAATGCAAGAAAACAGAATATAGACAACAGTGCAGAAAGGTACCTATTCAGGTTCCTAATACATGCATGAAGACTGTGATGGTTAAGGAAGCATACAACTGCCCCAAAACAGAATATAAGACCGAGTGTATATCTGAGGCNCACTGTAAGATGAGGCGACTAAAGTCAGCACCTACATGCAGAACAGTGCCTATGCAAGTAAACAAAACATGTTATAGAGATGTGCCGCAGCAAGAATCTTATGCATGCACAAAAACAGAATATCAAGATGAATGTGAACAAGTACCTTTTGAGGTCCCGGATACATGTTATGAATCTGTACCTATACAGAAACCATATACATGCAGTAAAACACAATATAAACAACAATGTAAGAGCGTTCCTATTGAGGTTCCTGCTACATGTACACGCCAGGTACCTCAGCAACAAACATATCCATGCCCTAAAGTACAAATAAAACAAGAATGTGAACAAGTACCTATCACAGTCAATGATACATGTACAAGACCTAAACCTATTCAGGTTCCTTACAGCTGCCCTCAAACACAATATAAAGAACAATGTCATATGCAGACTGTACCTTATACAGATACATGCATGAAGACTGTTGCTGTGAAAGAAGAATATAATTGTAGTAAAACAATACAAGAAAAAGA